CACAGATGGGCTTTGGGTCCCCACTCCCCCTCATTCACAGTGATATGATTTTTTGTTCTTTGATGCCTGATATCTCATCCCTTCGACACCTGGTGATCACACAGGCTACCACCAGGGCTCTTTAAACAGGTGGAGGACAAATAAGAACCAGAGGAGAGAACCAAACCTGCCGTTAAGAAAGACGAGGAAAAAAGGGGGAGTTGAGACACTGGGACACAGTGAGGCAGTTGGGACACTGCAGAAATGGGAGTGGGAAGAAGAGTGGAGGAGGTGAGAGCCAAAGGGGAAAGGGCGAGACAGATAAGGCAGGCGCAGAACACAGGTGGCCCAAAGACACCCAAGGCCGAGAGCCGGGCAGAATCCGGAGGCTGACCCAGTACACACGGGTTCGTGGGGCATGGACACCCTGAGGCTGAGACAGACGGGGCGGAGGCCCTGAGTGGGACTCGGGCACAAAGGGGCAGGGAGACTTACTGGCCCCACAAGAGCCTGCGCAGAGCTGTGACACAGACGGACGCAAACCTAGGCAGGCAGCAGGAATAGACGGAAGCTGTTCCTGAAGCCACAGGGAGGGACAGCCAGTACCAGCGACAAAACAGCCCCACAGATTCAAATAAATACAGGCCGGGGGGTGGGGGCGGGAGGCTTTGAAAAGTTCACAAGGAAATGGAATTGAAAGATAATGGGATCTTCCCCATCAATTTTTTGAAGCCGCCTCGGGTTTATTTTTACTTATGCTTTTTCTGTAATTTCCAAACCATCTATGGTGAGAGTGTACTTTTATAACATGTGTAAGTGTACACGGGTGTTGTGTAGATATCACTCTTGGTCGGTTTGTCCCAAGGTGGGCACTAGAATGACGGAGGGGGAGGGGCGGCAAAAGCTGATGCCTAGGTAAAGTTTGAGAACCCCTGCTTTGGACTAGATCCTGGCCCTCCCCCGGCCTCTTGGCCCTTCTTGCCTTTGGGATGGAGAGGGCGGGGCTCAAGAAGCTAGACAAAGGTGAGCCCAAGATTTGTGAGGAACAGGAAGGGAGGAGAACTGGCCGCAGCATTGAGAAGTGGGGCTTCAAAGGGGAAAGATGGAATCAAAAGCACATAGAATTTTGCTATGAGCTTTTGGAAGCCCCCTGATAGGGTTGAAAGGAGAGTGGGGAATTGGTGGGCCAGCTGAACCCTGAGAGGTGTGACAGCGTGGAGCGAGATGGGATTCTGAGGGCCAGGTACTCACCGTCCAGGGACAGCCAGTCAAGCTGAGTGCTGGGCAGCGACAGGAACCGGCGGGCGCGGTATTCAAAAAGCACGGAGGCAGAAAGGGGCCCCTCCCGCCCTGACACCTGCAAGGACACCAGCCCTACCTCGTGGGCTGGGGAGGGTGGTGTCGGCAAGAGGGCCACTCTGCTCTGGCCCTGAATTGCCACCTCGGTCAGAGCCACAAATCTGATCCACCCTCACCATCCCTGGCTCTCACTCCAGAGGTCCTGGTGTCAGTGGCTTCGGCCGGACTGGAAAGAGGTTCCACTCACTCAAGCACTAAAGCCTATGATGGGCCCTTAAGACCCTTTGGGTGGTCATGATCCAGCAACAGGGCCTCGAAGCGGAGGGTCCAGAGAATCCTGTATTTTCTGAACAATCGGGGGAATACCACCCCCGGCCCCCTAGGAGCAGAGTCCGGAGGTCATGAGCCTGCTACTGAGGTCGGGGAAGGGAAGTTATGGCCAGGTAAGGGAGGCGGCTAGCTGAGCAGTGGTGTCTGGACACACACTGCCCAATGGAACGCGTCCTGCACCCAGGGATGTGCTTTGTACCTGCGCTGCTGGCTACGGCAGCCCCAGCCGCTCAGCCCCTTGCTCTTGGAATGTGGGTAGTTGGACTGAGGAAATAGCTCATTGAAATAGCCACACGGACTGCTGGTGGCTCATACTGGGCAATACAGGTCTAGGAGCCAGTGTCATTCTGTCACTGGGCTAGTCAAAGGAGAAGGGACCGCTCTCACTGCCCATTCTCCTAAGAGAGCTTCCTAAGAGAGTCCAAGCAATTGACCAGAGAACTGGGACAGACACCAGCGATGCCTGGGGCCAAATGCCTGACCTAATAAAAGTGGAGGCCAAGGGCCCAAGAAAGGACTAGAAGCTGGACTTCCTGGTAGTTAAACCCAGGCTCCTCTACCTGCTGGGGGCACCTGGAGCTCGGCCTCAAGACTGCGTGAGTTCTTTGTCCCCTCAAGGCCAAGGCCATTCGTCCCCAGTGCCTGCTTCCCCCGGCTGCTCCCAATCCCCTTACCCGGGCAGTAGCAGCGTAAGACACCGGGCTGGACGAGAGAGGCTGGCACTGCAATGTGATCAAAGACACAGGAGTAATGCTCGGTGGCCTCAGTCCACGGACCCGTGATGAGCACCTTGACCCCACCCTGCAGACAGATGCCAGAGCGTCAGCTGAGGGGCAGGTGTGCTGGGTGTTCCTCCGCATGCGCACTCTCGCACTCATTTGTTTGTTCAGACCCTTGGAGTATCTACTGCCTGCCAGGCTCTGGGGCTAGTCTGTAAGGATCAGGGCCTGGCAGGGTGAGGTCAGAGGGTCATTCCTCCCCAACATTCCTGTTAAATGGTGACCTAATCGCTCTCTGAATCAGCCAGAAATGGGGAACTTGCTGCCTCCCCCAAAGCTAGCTCATCTGCAGAAAGCTCTGCTCAAGAGGAAGCTCTCACAGGGAGGAGCTGATCTATGGGCATCGCCTCGTAGTTCCTCCTGTCTGCCCAGGCAACTGAAAACAGAACTTCTTGCCCCTGCTGGACACAGCCAGCTAAGCAGCAGTCTGCAGCCAAGCTTTCCTTTCCTCCCGGTTGAGAACAGTCACCAAGGGAATGAGTTCCCAGGGGTGGGGGGTGCATGGGCAAGTGAGGAGTGAGGAGCAAGGGCTAGCTGGTGGGGGGGACTAGAGAAACAGGAAAGAAGCTGGGCGGAAAATTGAAAAACTAGGAAAACACGGGGACACTGGGTCACAGACCACTGGAGGGAAAGGAATCATAGTTGATCCAACTCCTATTGGGGAACCCAGGAAACAGGTGAGGCCAGTCAGGGAGGGGACTCACCTCTGGGTAGGACCACTCTGGGGAGAAGTCTGTGATGGCGCTCAGGGCCGGGGTGGGGATGCTCGGGGCCTCCTCGCTGATGAGTTCTCCCATGAGGTCTGGGAAGGGGGCGAGGCTGAAGGGCTCCAGCTCGCTGGGCCCACCCGGGCCTCCAAACAAGGCGTCTCCTCGGCCGGCCCTGCTCGAGGGCTCGAGGGGGGCAGGGGAGGGCGGGGGTGAAGAAGGGGGAGAAGGTGCCCGTGAGGCAGTCCCCTGGGCCTTGAATTCCTCCCCAACGTCATCATCTTGGATGAAGAAGCAGTTTCCTCGTTTCCCACCGACTCCTGTGGACTGAAGAAGGCCCCGAGCGGCCGCCTGTGGCTCCAGGGCAGCCGCAGGCTCTAGGGCAGGGCACGGGGCGAGGGCGGCCTCTGCCTCGGGGAAGTCTGGGCTCACTCCCTGCCCACCTCCATACGTCTGGCCCCTCTGGGGGCTGTTGAGGAACCGGTCAGGATCAAAGGCAGGGCTGGGAGGCGCTGGTAGGGCAGAGGGCTCAGAGCCTACCACCACAGCCAGGCTCATGGAGGGCCTGGGATCAGCCTGGGGAGCCAGGTGCCGGGTGGGTGTCAAGCCTCCCGCCCGCTGCTCCAGTCCCGTCAGCAGCAGGATGGCAGTGCCACCTCTGGAGGAACCTCGGGTGGTGGGCGGACTAGGCCTGACCTCTATGGGTTCGGCGAAGCCAGAGGAGGAGGAAGAGGAGGAAGATGGCGAAGTATGTGCCTTGGGGAGCTCTGGGGGCAGTGGGGCTATCAGTGGGGGGGGTTCGGGGGGATGGGGAATAGGGGTCAGGGTCAGCGCTTGGGGCTCCACTTTGGGGGAGATGATGCGGTGCTTCGTGCTGCTGCATTTATGGGTAAGGCTCCCAGAACCTGGAGTGGAGAGGGGCAAGGTAAGTTAGGGTAAGACAGCTTTCTCCAACCTTCCCCTACTGGGCCCAAACATTGCCATTGGAGTGGAACTCAACTCAGTGACCCTAAAAGGATTGAACTGTCCCCAGAGGGTTTCCAAGGCTGTAAATCTTTACAGAAGCAGGGAGCAGCTGATGGGGTTGAATTGCCAACCGGTTGGCAGTGGAGCACTAACCACTGTGTACCGGCTCCTTTGACCTTCTGGAAGCCTTTATATAAGCTCCTGGGACTCCTAGAGCCCAATTGTGTAGTGCTAACTATGGCCACTAGGAGGCAGCAAAGGTTCCCCCCTCTCCGGACTTTACACCCCTTCCCCCACCACAAAAACAAAACGGAACAAGCACTGCAAAGGAGGGCTGAAGGCTTGGAGCAGTAACGATGCCATGGGGAAAAGGGCAATGAACAGCACTGAGAAGGTGCCAACTGGGAGTAAGCCAGGGCTGGAAGTAACGGGGGTGCCGAGGTGGCCAGGGCCTCGAAGGGTAGAAGGCAGAAAGCTGCGCAAGCTGCCAGAAGTTCCTGGTAAAAGGAGCAGGGACCAGTGTGTGCCCAGATGGGAAGGCCTTCGGTCACGTGGCCCATCATTCTGGGACAAGCAAAGGACTTGCAAATCAGCATGCAAATCCCACCACGGCAGCTTCCCCGTGGCTGGTGGGAGTGCAGTGTGGACAGAGGGGGAGGGAGGGCCAGCGTCAGGGTCACTCACCCAGGCCCCCACTGCAGAGACAGGCGTGGGTGCGGGGTGCGGGCTTGGTTGGGTGTGTGTCCAGGATCTGCTGCACCAGGTGTTCCACCGAGAACTCCTCGGTCCCATTCCCGCAGCTCCATTTGATGCCATGAACTAGAGGGAAATGGGGAAGGAGGTACTGAGGGAACCCAAAAACCTGCCTCCAGAGCACCTGGATGGCTCCTTCAAGCCCCAAGACTCCTGGCTGAATGGACAGGGAGAGGCCAGCAGCCTCAAGACTGCTGGGACATGTGGCTCACAGCCAGCCGCTTCTCCAGAGTCCACCTTGCAAAGCACCAGGGCACCTAGCACCCCCCACAGAAGACCATTATCCTGGCTTGGAGGAAAATGGTCCCTCCACAGGTTTCTGGGAAACCACAGAACCCCGGCCCCTTTGAGTGGCACCTCTTTCCCTGCTCCACCCTCGCTCTGCTGCCTTACACATGGGCTTCAGCTGCCCCAACAGCTCCTCCCGAGACCACTTGAGCCACTCCCGCCGGTCGCTGCTGATGGAACAGAAGATCGGGCTGCAGCCCTTTCCACAATCTTCCAGGGCCGGAACGTTCAGGTAGTGCACAAGGACGATGTCAGGGTTCTAGGAACAAAAGTGTGTCCACACAGGGAATGTGGGGGTCCTGAACTCTTGGGGGCTCAGCTTCCTTGTCCTCATTTCTTCCAGGGCACCCCTTCCCAACCCCACTCCCATGGTCTGGCTCTCTTCCTCGCCAGCCTCCCTCTCCCTCCTTCCCAGGCTCTTGTCCCAGCACTGAGAAGCTGGGTGCTATCCCCCTCCCCCAGCACACCCACACCTCATCCTTTCAGATCCTATTTCCCACACGGAATCTGAGAGCGCGCAGCGGACCAAGAGCAAGTCAGTCCTTACCTGGAGCAGCCAGTAGCAACGCCGATGGAATGTAGGGACGATGGAAGAGTGAACGTAGCAGCCATAGAGACACTGCCAGGAGACAGGCTGGGGTGGGGGGAGGGCTAGTCTGCTCCCCAAACTCTTCCTCCGTTCAGTCCTTTTGTAGGAATCCCCATCTTTCCACCAGCTCCTCTGGGACCTTCTCCCCACACCCACACCCAGCCCCCACCTCTGATTTCAGACGCCAGCGGCCTGAGCCACAGGTGAGGGATGGAGAGAAGGAGGGGGGTAGATTTGAAGGAGGGGACTCTATAGAAGTTTCAGGGCAGGGCAAGGATGCACTGAAGGCGAGGAACCATGATGTGGGGAAGAGGGGCTCATTACCTGGAGCCCTGAGGCAAAGTTGAGAGAAATGGGGGTGGGGAGGGCCGAGTCTGTGTGTGTGAGGGGGAGCTATGGCTTAAGTCCTGAGGAGTTGGGTCATGGAGGGAGATGGGAAGCAGAGAATGGATGCCAGCTCTCTTACCTCCATGCCCTGGACCTTCAGCTTCATGTGGTCCTCTCGGGTGGTCTTCCCATCCTTCCGCTTCTTCCAGAGGTAACCGTCCTTCCGGTATTTCACCTTCTTGCGGTTGTAGAGGATGATGGAGCCATTCTGAGGCCTGGGGAGAGGAGGGTTGGTCTCGAGTGCTGTGACCAGGAGAAGCGCTGACCGCTGCCACTCTCCACCTTTGCTCGCTTTCTCACCTTGTCTTTGGGGCACAGGATAGCCACTCATCATGCTTCTCAAAGGTGATCAAGTAGGAGGCAATCTCCTGCAGGTGAGCGAGGAGGGACTCATGAGTGGCCCCTGGCCTGAGCATCCCCTCGGTCTGGTCTTACTCTTGCTGAGTTCTGGAGGATGCTTCCAGGTGTCTGGACCCAGCAAGGACCACTGCCCTCCAAGAACCCCACTGCAGACAATGATTCCACTGTGCCCCCTTCATCTCTTCTAATGAGGGCACTTGCCTCGGGGCTAGGTTCAAGTTCTTCTTCATCTATTTTCACAGTGCCTATTATTTTACTCTGCCCAAGTCCCTTTATTTTTATTGCCACTTCCTGACTAAATCCCCCCCCCACACACACACACAACCAATGGTTTGGCAATGCCAATAACTCCAGATTCTTTAGCCCGATGGGAGGAAGATGAAACTTTCTGCTCCCATAAAGATTCACAGCCTCCGAGGGTTGCAGTGAGTCAGAATCAGCTAGTTGGCAGAGAGCTCGAGAGCTGGCCTGACATTGTGCGACTCCCTTGACCAGGGATCAAACCAGCATTCACATCCTTTACCTACAGTGCACCTACCCCTCCTGCCTGGTCCTTGTATTCTTCCCTTAACATGTCTGCAATACCCATATCCACCTCAATACTGGTAGTGTTCTATCAGCCTGGAGTGCTGTCTGCACAAAACCCCATGTCTGGAAACCCTAGTCCAACAGACCAAGTCCTTTTCCAGATGGTCTGTTATGTCCTGCTGACCACCCTGGCCATTCCCTGAGGCTCGCTAGCACTTACAAGAACATGGACCTGTCCCCTTTGCCTGGTGGCTCTCTTGTAACATCAAATAAGTCATTACCAAGCACTATCTACATGCAGACCAGCCCTGGTGATGTATTGGGCTCTAACCACAAGGTCAGCAGTTTGGAACCACCAGCCGCTCTAGGGAGAAGGATGAGACTTTCTCCTCCCATAAAGAGATATAGTCTCGGAACCCCACAGGGGTAGTTCCACCCTGTCTTAAAGGTCAGTGAGTCGGAACAGACTCAATGGCAGGGAGTTTGAGTTATTCTGGAGGCTGAGCTCCCTGTGTGAGGAAGCACACAGGTAGGTAACATAAAGACACTGCCATCCAGGGAGGGCAGCATGAGTGATGGTTAAAAGCATCAACTCGGGAGGGAGTTAGAGAAACCACGAGACCTGTCTGTCTTCTCATCTCGATCAATGGGGAGAAACACAGTGACTATCTGCCAGCATCGTCACAGAACTACAGTGAAGGAGACAGTGCAGGAGGAAGAACCACTTCATAGACGGTACCTATCACTGTGACCCACATAGATGGTAACTATTTGTGTCACTTAGTTGTAGATGCCAAGACATGGGCTCTTCTGAAGCTCATCTCTTTATGTCTCTCCTCTAATCCCCAAAGGAGCCATGGGTGATACAGTGGGCTGTTAACTGTAAGGCCGGTGGGTTCAAGCCCAACCAGCAGCTTTGAAAGAGCAAGATGAGGCTGTCTGCTCCAGACGGGCCCATAGGGTAAGGTGACCAGACATCCTGCTTTTTGGCGGTTTAAAAAGTCCCGATTTTTGGAAAGAATGCACAAGCTAGGGAACGGTCTATTTGGTCCATATAGACTAAATTTTTAATCAAGAACCCCACCCCACCCCACCCCGTCAATGGTATCCCGCTTTAAATCTGGTCACCTTACCATAGGGTGACTGTGGGAACCAGCTTCATGGCAGTGGGTCTGGCTTTGGTTACAAAGAGACTACAATGGTGCTGTACCTTTAGGAGTGTGAACCCCCCTTTCAGCCTCATCTTGCTTTTTCAAGCCCCTGTCCCCCTCCTCTAGCCCCTGAGGCCTTGCCGGGGCCCCAGTCCCCAGGCTCCTGAGAACACCTCGTTTGTATTCCACCGGAGCCGCTCTGGCGGCAGCAAGGGACAGCGCGGAAGACACTCCAGCAGCTTCTTGGGGAGAAAGATCTTCAGGTGGTGGCTGTTCTCTACAGGAAAATTGAAGGTGGAAACCATGCATCACTTGGAAGCTCAGTGACAGCCCAAAGAAAGGGGCTGGCAAGCATTCACCAGGAAGGGGAAACTGAGGCAATGACAAGGAAAGCAGAGCAGGAGATCCAAGAATTAGAGTCATCCCCACCACCACCACCGCCCCCTGCATGGAGAGGAAAATGGCTCCGCCCACACTAGGACCCTGGCTTGTGAACTCACCAGCAACCTCAGTGATGTCCTTGGAATTCATGGTGAGGGCTTCAGGGGGCACAGTCACCCCCGGCCTGAGGGGCCGGGGGGAGGGGGAGTCTGTGCTGGCAAGGGAGAGAACAAGGTCATGGCAGAAGCTCCCCACCCACCCCCAACCCAGGAGGAGGTGGAGAGTACAGAACTGGATAGGTAGATTGGAAAGGAAGCAAGCGGGAGGAAGGGGCTGGACTATGGGCTAGGATGTGGGAGAGCGAGAATGGAAGTGCAGAGGTGGCAAGGACACAGAAATGCCTGTATCAGGAAAGAGGACAGGGGAGGAGGCAGGGCTGGGCCGCCACATAGGTGCTATGGGCTGCTTGGGGGCCGGGACTCAGGGCCTCTGGTCCTGGAGGTTGGTTTGGCGGAAGAATCAGAATGCTAGGGCGAGAGCAGAGCCTTAGAAGGCACACCCTGAGTCCCTTCTTCCAAGGGGAAGGGCAGCTCTGATAACCATGCTAATCTACTCTCGCGTCCAGGTTGCTGGGATTCTGGCAGAATTTAGGGTTGGACGCCCAGGACTCTGCTTGTTACCCTCAGGAAAAATTCTGCACCCTTAGGCTAACAGGCCCTCCGCAGCACCCTTCTGCCTCCCCCCCCGTCACCCCATCTACCCCTCTAGCTCCGCCCGAGGCCCCCACCCTCGTGGGGGAACAGATGGAAGCTGGAGGAGGCTCAGGAGCGGGCTCCGCCAGGTGTCCGGGATGAAGAGGGGGAGGTGGCCCATCCCAGCTCTAAGCACTGAAGCTGGAGTTGGGGGAAGGACTCCGCCCCAGGGCGCAGGTGCGCACTCCGGGCTCGGCAGCCTGCCAGGGTGCGGAGCGGGCCCGGGGCGGCGCCCGACTCGGACACCCGGTCCGCGGGGCGGTGGTCCCCGGAGGCCTTCCGAAGTGAGAGGGTCCAGCCTGCACTTTACGATGTTCTGGAGAAGCCTTGGACAAAGTCCGCGAGCGCGCGGCGGCGGGCGAGGGACAGTGCAAGTGCCGGGGCCCCGGGGTCCCCGGTCCAGTCCCCGGCAGAGCAGCTCCGCCGTGGGACCCTGCGCGGAGCGGCGCCCCCTGGCGCGGGGGAGGAGGACGGAAGCGGGAGTGGGGGCGAAGCCGGGGGAGGGGCGGTGGTCCCGGCGCGGCGCTCTCCGGCCGTACCGGGTGGAGCTGCGCCCCCTGGCGCGGGGGCGGAGAGGCAGGCGAGAGGCCCTGGCTCTTACCTCCCGGGGTCCCGCGGGTGACGGCAGCAGCGGCCATTCTACCCCACACCGACCCCCCCCTCCCGGCGCCGGCTGACAGCGGCGTCCTGCGTCACGGCGCACGGGGCGGGGCCTCCCAATTAAGGGGATGGGGGTCGGAAAGGGAACTCGGGGTCAGCATACGTAGGGCTCTGGGCGGCGGGAATGGGCCTCCAAGGCCCCGAGCCAGCCCGAGGGACTGGCTGCTGGGACGCCTCTAAAGGCCGCACAGTGCTGGGGGCCAGGATTCCGGGGTCCCGGAGGCGGAAGCTTGACAGACTGGCGGACTAAGGGGCGGGAGCAGCCAGCAGGTGCTGGCAGCCGAGGGGCTGGGCCAGGACCGCGCTTTTCTTCTTGAATTTGGGGGAGGGGGCGCGTCCCAACTTTGTTATAGATGGGACCTCGAGAAGGGGACAAAAAACCTTCCCCATTAGTCCCTCCATCCCTGCTTCACACAGAAAGACACACCAGGACCCGTTTGCTTGCTTTTAATAACAGAACCGAGAAGAAAGCACGATACCAGGGGCGGCCCTGGGGGCGCTCCTGGGCAGGGGTGGGCTGCTAATGCCTACGCCCAACGGTGACCAAGGAAGCTGGAAAAGACCTGGACGTCAGAAACGGGGAGCTAGGCTGGTATCCAGGAGGTAGCAGAGCTACCTTGGGCCCTGGACACTCTCCTTACTCCTCAGACCCAAATTCCATCTCCCAGGGCCTGAACAGGGGTCTTGTGGCTGTGGCCAGGCTTTAGGAGGGCAGGGAGCGCTGTCCCCTGTAGAGGCAAGACTCCTGGCCCCGGGGACTCCAGGGAGACCAAAGCAGCTGTGAAGATGAGAGAAATTACAACAACATTTACTTTTTAAGGAATGGAAATCTAGACCGCTTTCCAGATTTCCTAGTCCCCAAACTCAGGTACGTACCTTCAAGTGTCTGGTTCCCACCTACTCAATTTTTGGCTTTCTCAAATCCTAGATGGGGTTGCCCAGCCTTTCCATGCAAAATCAGGGGTCCACATGCCCTCCGCCACGCTAGCCATACCTGGGCCCCACCAGAAGTGAGGGGATGGCCGACTTCCCGCAGACCTACTGCCCTCTCCTCTTCCAGACCAAGGCCCTTGGCGGTGTCCAGGAAGCCTGGGCCCTCGTCACCAAGCACAAGGGACTCAGATGGTGCCCCGGAGCTGCCCCACTGGGCCTTCTTCAGTCTGTGGAGACTTGAGATTTAGGAGAGGTGCCTGGACACCCTGCCTTTCCATTCCTCACCCTTCTGTGTGGAAAAACTTCCTGCTGGGACCCAGGGGTGTTGTCATTGGTCTTCTAACTCTCTGCCCCTTCATCGGAAATCCCACTGCCATCAAGTCCATTCCCACCATAGGGCAGGGTAGAACTGCCCTTGTGCGTTTCTGAGACTGCAACTCGTTAACCAGCGTGGAAAACCTTGTCTTTCGCCCATAGACTGGCTGGCAGTTTCGAACTACTGACCTCGAGGTTAGCAGCCCAGCATGAAACCACTAGTGATATCTTTTCAGCCATGGCACCGAGAGGTGACTCCTCTTACCCACTCTCTTGTATGGTGTGCTTTCGTGTGGCTTCACCTGCATCCCTCAGCCCCCTTCTTGCTACACTGGAAATTCTGCTTCAATCACAAAAAGCCGGGGCTCACCCCCGAACAACCTCCAGTTCCCTCCAAGCTCTCCTTGCTCACACCATCCTGCCCCTCTTGACTCTCAGAGGGCAGACTGCTCTCCTCCTTACTCATCTATGATTCCCTGGCGCCGCCGGAGATCCTCCAGGTGATAAGTCACAGCCCTCACCCGGGCTGGGACACCCCCAGGTCCCTGCTGGACTCCTGTGGAATGAGGCTTCCTTTTCTTTCTTCTGCAAAGCATCTCAGGGGGTGGGAGTCCCTCCGGAGGGTACAAGCCGACCTGTGGCTGGGAGCAACCAGAGGCTCTCAGCCAGAGAACAGAGGACAAGGTGCGAGAGAGCAGTCGGTCTTACAAGGGAGCTTGAACTGCACAGGGAGGCAGGATTTGGGGCGATCACACAAACATGCTGACTGACTCACAGAAAGGAGGGCCTGGTCAGTGGCCTGGTTGAGGAGGGGATTCCAGAGGGAAGGGGTAATAGGGGGAGCTGGGAATGATGACTATGGGTATATTTTTAACAGAGAAGTGCAGAAAGACAGTGAGGTTGTCGTACCAGCACAGGTGGAAAGCACCGTTCCTCCGTCCAGATGGGGCTGTGAAACACAAAAAGTAGGCTAATGCAGGGAGGAGCCACCACCACCTATTGCCACCGAGCTCATTCTGAATCATAGCAAACCTTCAAGACAGTAGAACTGTCCCTGGGGGTTTCAGAGGCTGTGAATCCTTTATAGGAGCAGAAAGCCTCATCTTTCTCCTGAGGAGCAGCTGGCTGGTGGGTCCAAACTGCTGACCTTGTGATTAACAACCCAACTTGTATCCCACTACACCACCAGGGCTCCTTACAAGGGGAAGAGCCCCACCAGTATTGCTTCTCTAATGACCTTTCCCAACCGTGATTCCCTAGACCTGACACCCATCAACTGTCCACCCCCAGTGGGACAATGATCCCTATGGCTATATGGGTAGCTTGAAATTGTACGGCTACCCCTCCCACGTCCAGTTCCTCCCCATTTTCTTTCTCACAACCCACCTGGGCCTTTTACTAAGGTTCTCCCAGAAGATGTCTCCATAGCGCTGAGGCGTCATTCTGAGGCTCTGAGCAGGTGAGCTGAGTAGTGGCGATCGACTGACCACCCTGGAACACCTGAGGCGAGGACAAGGTAGGCTCAGGTTTGGCTTTTCCCTTGCAGAGGCTGCTCACACCAAGGATTCAGAAGCCCTGTCTCTCCATGGGACCCTTGAGCTTTCCCAGGCTTCCTCCCTTATCAACTTCGGCTGAGAACAGTGGTGGTGAGGCCTCTTATTTGAAAGGAGACTGGCAATTAATTGTTGGAGCCTCATGTCTTACTGAATAATCTCAAGGTTCTAAGCCAGAGAACACCGTGTTTAGCAAGTGTGACAGATCCGGCAGAGTAGAGCCTCTGCTTACCTCCCTTGGTCTCTCCTATCTGAGAAGGACTGCTATCCTTCTAGGCCATGAGTGATGTGCAGAGCTGTTTGAAAATGGCACTCTTCCTCTAGTTCCTAAATGTTTCCTCCCCGCTCCCACTACCATGACTCGAATTCGACCTTGCAAGTCTGGCTAGACCAGAGAATGTACACTGGTACAGATAGGAACTGAAAATCCAGGGAATCCAGGGTGGATAAGCCCTACAGGACCGGTGGTGTGAGTGGCGAAACAGGGAGGGTAAAGGGAGAATGGGTAGGAAAGAGGGAACCGATTACAAGGAACTATATGGGACCTTCTCCCTGGGGGACAGACAACCGAAAAGTGGGTGAAGGGAGACGTCGGACAGGGCAAGATATGACAAAATACCAATTTATAAACTATCAAGGGCTCATGAGGGTGGGGGGAGCGGGGAGGGAGGGGGAAAATGAGGACCTAATGTCGGGGGTTTAAGTGGAGAGAAAATGTTTGAGAATGATGTACAAATGCGCTTTACACAATTGATGTGTGTATGGATTGCGATAACAGTTGTATGAGCCCCTAATAAAATGTTAAAAAAAAAAAAAGAAAAAGTCACTCTTCATTTCCAAAACCTCCAACGAACGACCGCGGCAAGCCCATCCCTACAGTGGTATCTGAGTGGTCCCCTTGCAGGCGACCACCCATTTTCATGATCTTATGTTAACACCAATGTGCGGATAACCCCAAATCTCTACTCTGAGCGCTAGATTCCCCCCAGGGCTCCAGATTTGCAGGCTCAACTGGCCCTCAACATCTCCTCCTCAGCCACTTGTATCTCAACAACACTCCCGGGTCCCAGGGCTAAAGCCATCGTATGCCTTTGCTTTCCCTCACTTCCTCTAGCCAAGCCACCAGGAAGTCCCATTCTGTACCTAAAATATACCCAAACGTGACCACCTCTTATTTCCATGCCCATCACCCTACTCCAGGCCACCTCCCCCCTGCCTGGACTTCTGTAATAATCTCCTCTCCCTGCTCCCGTTTCCACCTCTCCCCTCCCCGCCACCACCCTAACTATTGATTCTGAGCAGTGAGAATAATCTCTCTTAGCATATGATCACACGAAATGACACTAGGTTTGCGAGGGGGAGTGAATTACTAACTAGAGGGTAGACTTAACTTGGATGAAGAGGCAGGCAAAAAGTAAATAAAATGGTATTGTAAAAAATTCTATAAGGTTGGAGGTGTATTTCAAAATAATAAAATAATTTGGGAAGTAGAGGATCAACTGGGTGTATAGATGAAAAGATCATCCACATACAGATAACAAAGTGGAACAAAAAGGGTATATTGAGTTCATTATACTGTTTTCTCTACGTTTGTACTTATTTGAAATTTTCCGTAATTAAAAAAAAAAGTATGATCATGTCACTCTCTTGCTTAAGACCTTCCAATGACTTCTACTGTCCTTAGAATAAAATCCAAAGTCTTTTCGATGGTCTTTAAGGGTATATATGATTTAGCCTACTTTTCACTCACTCACTGCCATCAAACCAATTCCAACTCAAATCAAACCTACAGGATTTGAGTAGGGCTGCCCTTGTGAGTTTCTGAGACTAAATCCTTAGAAGACCCTCAGACAGCTGGTGTTTTGAAGTGCTAACCTTGTGATTACCCAATGGGTAACTCACTATGCCAAATTCTCTCTTGCTCACTATCAAGTTTTATGGTCCTGCTTCCTGTTCTTGGAACTTCCCAAGCTTATTTTCTTCTTAAGGCCTTTTCATCTGATAGTCCTTTTTAAATTGCTTCTGATTCTTATATCTAGCTCCTCCTCATTTTTCAAGTCTCGATTCAAACTCATCTCTCCAGGAGTCCTTCACAATTACTCTATCAAATCTTGTGTCCCCTAAGCATTCTATTTTCCACGATGCTAAGATCCGATTTTGTTTTATTCATAATAATTAACATTGGTTGAGGTGACATTTGCTTATACCTTTTTGGGGGGGTCACTTTCTTTTCAATTACTTCACAAATTTATTTATTTTTAAAAATCATTTTATTAGGGGCTCATACAACTCTTATCACAATCCATACACACATCAATTGTGTAAAGCGCATTTGTACATTCATTGCCCTCATCATTCTCAAAACATTTTCTCTCCACTTAACCCCCCTGTTTATACCTTTTGTTGCCTCCCTCTAGCATGTAAGCTGTATGGCAGCAGGCCCTGGATTTCAGAATCTAATACAGTGCCTAGAACACTAGTGCCTAAAAATCATGTCCTGAATAAATGAATGAATCATCACTCAATGAATGAGACTTCCTGTTAGTTCCCACCCGTCAGGGCAAGACTTGGGCATTCGATCTACCCTCCATCCTGTTCCCAGTCACTCTATTGAGTGGGGAGGACTCACTTGGCAAAAGGGATAATGTAGTCTCCATCTTCCTGTACCTGCATGACTGGACGGAGTGGCTGGACCGTCTCCTCCATGGCTTTGGGAGGATAAGAGAAAATGAATCATCCATTCATGTAATAGCTCAAGGAGGAGACTAGTAACAGATTTAGAGATTAGGGAGAGTGTATACAGGTCCCCACCCCCATAAAAACAGATCTTAACTGGTTATTTCTAGAATATATCCATTGAACATACAGATGGAAGATATAAAGAGCCTAGGAAAAGTGGATATGGTAATAGTAAAAGACATTTTCTGAAGCCAATGTACAGTACAGTTGGTAGTTAAGTGACGGAACTGGGGACATGATAAAATGAAGGGTAACAGGTGGAGACTGAATACCCCAACCAAAAACCAGACTCGCTGCTATTGAGTCAATGCCAACTGACAGTGACCCTATGGGACAGGGTGGAACTGCTCCTGTGAGTTTCCCAGACTGTAACTCATTTCGGGAGTCAAAGTTCCATCTTTTCTCTAAAGAGTGGCTGGTGGTTATGAACTGCTGATCTTGTGGTTAGTGGCCCAAAATTAACCCACTAAGCCACCAGAGGTCACTAAGACATAAAGTTGGGCTTTTATGGGAAAACGATAAAAAACAAACAGAACCCCTAAACTCATTGCCATCAAGTCGATTGAGACGTGTGGACCCTGTAAGACAGGGTCGAATTGCCCCTGTGGGGTTTCTGAGACGAACTCTCAGAGGTTAAGAGAGTAGAAAGCCTTTCTCCAGTGGAGCTGCTGATGGTTGGAGTCTAAATGGGATCTCAGGGTCGGTTCAGTTGGTCCCAAGTGGGTGACAGCGATCCGCTGGGCAGGATGGGGTGGGGCATCGGATGGACAGTGTTGGAGGACAGCAGGGCCGGACAGGAGATGAAGACCCCGAGGAGGGAGCGATGCCTCTGGGCTGAGGGCGCTGGCCTGGGTCCGGCCCTTGGGGAACCCTGGCCCGCATGCAGGCGCCAGGCCTGCAGGGGTGGCTTGGCCCCTAGCAGATGCAGTGGGGCAGCCGTGGCGGAGGGCATACAGATTTGGGCGCCTGAGGAGGCCCTCCTGCTGGAGGTGGCGGACCCATGCTTGAGGGGACCAGGTTGGGTGGCGTGGGCCTGTGAGAACGGCCCCGGCCGGAAGCGCCGCCAAGCCTGAGGGGGCTGCTGCGGTCTGCGGCCACCACCGGGCCCAGAGCGGACGGCCGCGCCCGAGGGGCAGGCGGGGGCAGCGTGCCCGGACGGTGTTGTTGCCGCAAACTGCACTTGGGCACAGCACCTGAGGCGGCTGCGCGGCGAGTTCTAGAACGACGAGCCCAGCCGGCCCGGAGACGCGGTGTTGAAAGCTGAGGGCGGAGCCGGCGGGCGTCGCGCGCCGGGGGCGGGGCCTGGGCGGGGCCACCTCCTGGGCGGGGCCGAGGGAGGCTCCGCCCCCTACGCGCGGGCGCTGGTGCGAGTGCGGCTGCCGGGGGCCTGAGTCCCCTCCGGGGTCCGACCCCAGCTTTCCCGGCCCCAAGGATGCTGACGAGCCTCCTTAACCCCAGCACCCAGCTCGCCCTGCTCCTTCCACCAACGAAGTTCCCCGGGCCTCATCCGGTGGGTCCCGCGGTGCCGGGCGCATTGCCCCTTTAACAAGAGTAGTCCCGGGCGCTCCCTACCCCTCCCGGCTCCCTCTCCGGACGGCGC